AATGCTGTCAGTCTTGGTCAGTTAGTTGTCAGTTTTGCAGTTTACAATTCATTTTAACAAGCAACTGAGATGGAAAAAGTGCAATACTTGCTCAGATTGTTGTTGTTTTCTTTTGTTTGGTTGAGTTGTGGACGTGTATGGAAGCCTGTCTTCTCATCTCTGTTTAAAATACATGAATGGATGGTGTAATTGATTAAACAGCATTTAAAATTTCACTACTGGTGTCCCACTGATTAATATCCTTTGGAATTATAAAGACATTCAATTTAAATACAAAAAGTAAAAATACAATGCCATTTGGAAAAGTTAACTGCAGTTCACTCAGTACATTATATTTAGCAACATGAAGACAGACAGCTTCTCATTATCAGATCTGCAGAGTATATGCGCATCTAGAGAAACCCTCACACCCATCCAACCCCACCTGGGGGACAGCGTGTTGAAGGAATTGGGTTGGTCGTTGAACATCTATTAGCCATGAATCTTGTCTTCTGTCTGATTTATAACCACTGTGTCTGGCTTCAGATGAAATCACCAGATCAGTCATCTACAGAGTTCATCTGGTTAAAAAAAGGATTATAATATACTGAATTTATTGATTTAGCAAGTGTTTACAATATTCAAAATGTTACTTTTCTGTGTTTCATTTCACACTTGCCTGATCAGTAGCTCCAAGTTTAATATTTAATTTCATTATGAACTTGATTATCGGGGTAATTTGAGCCTTCCAAGAGTTCTACATCATACATCTTTAATGACTTTTAAAAACAACAATGAGCTTCACAAGTTTTCTCTAATCCACACAGGGTTAAGAGTATACACACACAGTCGAATATAAATAGCCATCCCCACTAATTTTTGGTTATATATCTTTTTGTGTGGTTTTGTGCAGCCATCAGCAAGCCTTTCCATATGGAAAAGATATATAGAAATCTTATAAAGTTTGTATCTGTCTTGTGTGAAACTTGTATGAAAAACATACAAGAGTGAAAACAGATATAAGATCCCTATAAAATTATATAAATGAAACTTGTATGTTTTGGATACTTACTAAAACAATATATGAAAGTGGCCATTTTCATGAGTAAATCATGTGAGTCTTATATGATTCACTATATGAAGTAGGCCACATCTGATGCAAGTCTTTTATAAGTTTTTCCTATTTCTTTTCCATATGGGTTGGGCATAATTCAAGATAACTGATTACTCTTTTTGGCAGATTTGATAGTGGTTAGTTTCCTGACTTGGATGGTGAAGCTTAATGTTAGTCTGCTTCATGCATTCCAAAACTAGTGTTGATGTGTGTTTGCTTTCATTATCCTTTGGGAACATTGAAATGTGTTGCAAACATCTAGCTGTTGATTTGTAGTAAAGTTAAATAATTTGAAGGTAGTCTTCCATTTTTAATATTCCGTCCGTTTGTGCTATCTACAAGTACTACTGGCAGCATAACAGCACCAGAGTATGTCGCTACCACTATCATGGTTGACGGTTTAGTGTTCTTTGGTTTCAAAGTCTCACCTTTACTCCAAACACACCGCTTGTTATTGAGGCCAAATAGTTCAATCTTTGTCTTGTCTGACCATAAACATTTTCTCTAGAAAGCGTTTGGTTTGTCCACGTGGACAGATGCAAATAGGGGTGGGTTTTTATAACCGATTTATCGATTAAAATCAATTCTGGCTTGGATAACGTGAAATCGATTCATTAAAATGCTGAATCGATTTTTTAATATAAATGTATTTTTCCCGAAATGCCAGAATCTCAGGTGAAACCTCACAAAATTTCAACAACCACCAAATAGTTAAGACAGTAAATGAGAGCAGAAACACGGATTCTGCACAAAGACGTAAACACACAGCGCGGACCCGCGGATCAGAATCAGTGAGATGTTGCCTTTCTCACCCGACGGCACGGACACGGTCGCGGCTGAAACTTTTCCTGTTTTGCTTCCACCACAATAAAATCACACTTCATACACAGCTCTCTCTCTCTCTCTGTACTTCAAGAACAGTTTCCCGTCTAAAAATCTGTTTTCTGCATTATTTGCTTGCTTGTTACGCACAAGTCTACCGTTGTTTACAGCCTGTCGGACGCTGTTTGTTTCCTTTCACTTACTTCCGAAAAGAAAGCCTCATTTCTGCCGTTCAATACTGAACAATTTTAAACTTTTTAAATTTATGCAAAATGCAAAACGCTTAGCCGTGTCTCTAATAAAACCGCTGTAACTTCAGAGGTGATGTTCATGTGTTGATTAATGGTTTTCTTTCGTTTTTGATGTACTGCAGAATATTTTTATAAAATCCCAGGCCAGGAAAATCACCTTCATGTTTTTCTGTGTTTTATCTTCAGCTACTTTGACACAAAGGCATCTGCTGTGATGCTCACACCTTTGATAAAGTCTTGCGTGTGTCAGCTTCCTTTTTATAGATACAAAAATATGTAAATGTACTGATCTGAATTATAATATTTCTGACTGTCAAAATTTCCCAGATTCAAATAGAATCGAATCGATTGAATCGATTCGGGACCTTGTGAATCCGAATCAAATCGATTCTAGAAACCAGTGACGATACCCAGCCCTAGATGCAAACTTCATTCAAGCTTGAAGGTGTGAGTTTTGAAGTAGGGGTGTCTTTCCTGATTGGCACCTTGGATCCTTGTTCTTGTCTTTGTTTATGACAAAATGTACAATTTAAGAATCATACATTTTAAGCTATGTATCAGGGTCAGAGCCTGTCATAGGTTTTCAAAAAAGCATAAATCCAAAAATAATTGTGTGGATCATTAGCACAGTTCACACCGAAGGGTATCGGAAAAGACTGCTACTCCCACAGGTGGAGGTGCTGAAAAACAAAATGGGTGAACGGTTACTGTAGGTGTGGAAAAACAAGTTCTGTGCTACCCTGTATGTGTTTGTGACACATTGCATAGACCACAGTTTTCTATTTACTGCTATTTTTGTTGGTGATTTTTGGTTTGTTTGTTTGTTTTTTAATCTATTCACGAGGCCTCAAACAGACTGAAATAATCTGCCATTGTGACTGTTTGCATAATAAAACGTGTTAAAGGGTCCTGAAAGTTTGACAGGTATGCACAAGAGTTCTAGCACATATATTGTTTTGTTTATTATTTTTGTTGGTCTTTTTTAGTGAAATCTGTTATTTGTGAGACTCTATTTATAAAATGTGTATAAAACATTGATGATTTAAACAATAGAGTCTTTATTAGTCTTAAGATTGCTGTTTTGTTCGGGTAAGGCAGGTAGTGGCTGTGGTTAAGGAGGCGCTAAATCTCCAGAGGTTCATCATTACAATATTTCTTTAAGAGACAAAAACAAGTATGTGTGTGTGCGTGTGTGTGTGTGTGTGTATTATCAGGAGGAGCTTTTCACTGCACATTATTAAAAGGTGATGGTGGAGAAAGTTTAGTCTATCAAAAGCTTTCAGCATGAGCCCGTCTCAGCAGAGAATCAACTTCATCACAGGATTACTCTTAATGTCAGGTAATGATAACACCTCTATTTCCTACTTAAGTGTTCATACTTTATTTTCTAAACCTAAGCAGGTTTTCATCTGCAACAAATGTTTTTAATAATAATGATAAGCATGACTGTTATTATTTTAATTATTGCTAATGTAAAGGTTTTATCTGTCAGGTTCAGGTTAAAATCAGTCTTACTGTGCAAATATATTTGTTTCTTTTCCCTTTTGTACATTTAGTTTATGTCACTGTGGTATGCTAGAATTACACTTTCTAAGTATAAGTACTGCAAAGACGTTTGTTTTTTTTACTGCTGTAAATATTTTTTGTTATTTCATCTTCTAGTTGGCAACTGTTGTTATTGTTTAATGGCTTTTAATGAATAACATTTGATTTGACATTTGATTACAGCAGATCTCTTTCTAAAAGTGCTATAAATAAGTTCAATCATCCCCCCTTTATCTTATGTGCAGTACCACTGATTTCCTTTCTGGTCTGATAATACAGTAAAATTCAGGCAGCAATACTGATCCAATACCGATTCTTTGAACAAAAACTTGATGTGTTTGGATTAAAAATGAGAGTATTTCAAACTATACCTTTATAATGAATACAGGACATTAGACTCTTGTTCTTATTGTTTAAATATGAAGAATTATCATACAGTGTTAGTACATACATTTTAAAATATTCAGTTAAGAATCAAAACAAATCTGGCTGATTGAAAATGATAGAATTAAGTAACATTTTGTACATGCACATTATTATCTGTCTTATGTATGAAATACGCCTAAAAAAATCCATCATAAAGTGCTTAGTGTAACTCATAAACACACACCTGAAAGCAGATAAGCTGTAAACTGGAGAGGAAAAGTCACTAATTTAGAAGATGCTTATTTAGTTTGTTGCGCTTTAAAAACAAAAAATTAAAAACTCCTCAGTGAAGCTAGGGCACTTATTATTCATTGCTGAAAAAAGAGAATAGAACCATAAGGTTTCTTTTCAACACTATAACCAAGCTGACAAACAGTCAGAGCACTGCTGAATCAAGTTTTTCTTTAATCGAAACAACCAATGACTTAATATTTTCTCAAAATACATTTAAACCATCAGAGAATAAATTAGTCATCACCATCTCACAGCTAATATTATGTACAGCTACTTGCACTACTACTGATATTTGTTTAGTACAATTCTCTCCAATGACCTTTCTGAATCATATCTACTGTATTTTTCACACTATAAGGCGCACTTAAAATCCTTGAATTTTCTCAAAAAACGACAATGCGCCTTATAATCCGGTGTGCTTTATGTATGAATTCTGGTTGTGCTTACTGACCTCGAACTGATTCTATGTGGTACACAGCGCTCAAAAAACTGTCAAAAATGTTTTAGTACGACTTTTGTAAGCTATGAAGCCGCACTGCTTGATGGTTTGTTGGAGCATTATGGCTACCGTAGTCAGGAGCCTCGCGGAGTAATCTGGGTCCAAAAATCCGTCCGCTTAAGGTCCCAAAGTCAAATCAACACTGCGGCATCAATGAGAGGTAAAAACTGTCTAAATTCTTTCATCTTTAATAAAATGATCAGCGTTGCTGCTTTACCAGATGTAACAATTACGTTTAACATCCAGGCATCCATGAAAACAGGATTTATTAAATGTAACAGAGTTAAAAGTTAGCCGTAAGTTAGCTCGCTAGTTTCCACCTAAACATGATATAGCATGTTCTGACTGAGAGATTTCTGAAACAATTCAAACGTACAGCTCTGCTATCACTTCCAACATAAATGAAGACAGAAAACTAAACAGCAGTGATGTTTGTAGGGTTACTGAAGTTGGACTAGCTGGTGTATAATGATGTGCTCCGTGATCGCTAGCAGCACAGCTATATTAGCATAGCATAGCATAAACAGTGAAGCTGGAGGATGAATACTAATGCTTGTTTTGCTTAATGCGCCTTATAATTCGGTGCGCCTTATGTATAAAAAAACAGACCCGTTCATCGACAGTGCGCCTTATAATCCGTGTGCCTTATAGTCAGAAAAATACAGTAATTAATAGATTTCAATTCATTGTGCTTGCTCCAAGGGGGTCATTATTTTAGGGGTTTTATCTTACAATATAAAGTGACTTGAGGTGACCCTCTTGGTCACCCCATCTAAGCTGACACTGTAAGTAAAAATCCATAAAGGCAAAAACTCAAAAGCAAAGTTTCTTCTTTGTGTTTTGTTGTTTTTATGAAATACATTTTCTTTGTGGTCAGTGTCTGTATGTTACAGTATACTGTCTTGTAAAAATGGCCACAGTGGCCCAACACACGAGTCCTTGCAGGCTGTCTTTGACCTCCAACCCTTCAGGCCAGCCATTAACCTCAGCAATCCCACCATAGCCAACATCTCCTTCACTTTGTATGCTGTCCTCGGTGTGGTGAGTTTCCTTATTACCACTTTAAGAAATGCACCATGACTTCTTAAGGAATTTCTCTAAAACCACATATTATTATCATACCTATTCTAATTTAATGGTGTTTTAACTCTAATTGAGTGGTACCAGTCAACAACAGGTTTACTCATATTCACTGTATTTCAGAATGAGAAAACTCAGATACTCACTACTTTCTTGTGGCTGAGACTGGTAAGTACTCAATAAATGTCAAACCTGCTCACATATTTAAATGTTACACTGGAGGTTTAAAATCAATGCATTACTTCTGTGGCAGTACTGGCACAATGAGTTCCTGGTCTGGGACCCCAAGGAGTGTGATGGTGTCACGAAGATTTCTCTACCTGTGAAGGAGCTCTGGTTACCGGACATCATTGTTTATGAGTTGTGAGCACTTCAAATAAAACATTTTTTAAAATAATATCATTTATGCATTTAATCAGTTCAGCAAAATGAACCTGTAAGCACGAAACCACACATGCATAGTTGCCTTAAGTACAGAGTGATAACCACGAGATGATCTGAAGAAGATATTTTTGTGAACAGGCTTGGACTCAGCCAAAGATCCTGAAGTCCAGTTACAAAATACAAACCATGTGGATATGCTAAGATGTCATCTGCAGCTACATTATCGTCCCTTTCACACAGACATTTTAGCTTGTCACAGTGGAGTAACCACAGGTGTAATAAGGATGGATACAGACCTCTTATGGTCCTAGTATTGTGTGTACTTGACTACTGTAATTACTTACAGAGGCACTTATAAAACTATGGAGTTATAAAAAAAATGCCTGTACTTGTATTTATTGCTATTTTTACTTTACACTGCCTCAAAATATATGTCTATTGTGTCTCAAACATATGTATCCACAGTGGGACTGATATAAATACTATCTCTCTTTTCTGTCATTGTTTTTGTTCAATATTATACTATTTCCTAATTTCCCCACCTCCCCCTGCCAGTGTGGATGACGATGTCTCCCAGGCATGTCCTTACGTCTACGTTAACCACACGGGTCACATCCGCTGGGACAGGATGATGCGTCTCGTCTCATCCTGCAATCTGGAGATCTTCAGTTTTCCTTTTGATGTGCAGAACTGCACATTTACATTTGGCTCTTACATGCACACCAGTAAGAATGGGCTGCTTTTAGCTTTAATTCAGAGGGTTTAACAAAAATATTGCATCAGCTGTTTAGGAATTACAGCCAATTTTACACATAGTTCACATCTTCAGTGGCTAAATAATAATAATAGGACAAAGTAACATAGTTTTAAATATAATAATTGTTTTTAATACTGGGATACAAATTCTCTGACTGCCTGAAGTGCAGAAGCCATCTAACCAAATACTGTTTCCTCCCTTTCCTCCCTGCTAGGGTTTTACTGAAGCCACCTTCAGTTGCTGTTTGTTTGTGGGTCTTTTGGGGTTGTAATAAATAAATAAATAAATAACACGTTTGTTTGGGTTGAGATTAGGTGACTGCTATGAGACTGACTCCAATTAATTTGAAGGACTATGTTTGAAAATGTCTGTATTTCCTAAAGGGTTAATTGAATACCTTTATTAAACAACTTAAATGAAAGCCAAATATCTTCATTTCAATCACACAACTATCATACATTGTGTGCAAATTACAAAATTACTTTTGCATGTATACCTAACAGTGTATTGTGTTGCTGTGGTTTTCTTACATAGTACGGGATGTGAGGGTTAGTCCAGCTCTGCCTTTTAAGGAGATGTCTCTAAACTCAAAACGATACCTGGAAACAAGTGGAGAGTGGGAGCTGGTGGACATACTGGGAGAGACCTCCATACTTAAATTTGGAATCGACGAATGGGACATCATCACGTTCTGGGTCAGAGAACCACACTTTCACTGAATTTCCTACTTTTAAATAAAACAAATATAACAGACTGAAACTAATTTGGGCATCAGAGACTCCACATCACAGCAACAATGGGACTGATGCTTACTTATTAATGCTATTACCTCTAGTGTCTGTATGGCAAATATACAATGTAAGCCAGCAGGTATAGTTTAGCTCAACACAGAGTGTAACATGTAGCTGAGTCTCTTATTATTAAGGTCAGAAGTTGTTTTAAAACCATCCAAAAGGCTTTACTGCTTGACCACAGATTATCTGCAAGCCACTGCATCACTGTAGACCTTTAAAGTGAATTTTAGCTAACTGTTTCCTTTCTTACTTCTCCTATACAAACTTTTTGAACTGCAATAGGCAGATGGTTTTGTGCATTCTCATTCCCAAACAGGAGTGGGTGAACAGTATTTTAGAATTTAGCATTTAATAATTCAGTATCTATCAGTTTATAGAAACCAAAAAAGAACCAACAGAAAGTAAATGCAAAATTAAAACCTCACTTTTCTGAATACAGAAGTCACACCTGTGAAGATGCATCTAAACTGCATGTGCTTTCTTGTTCACTAGGTGGTCGTAAAGCGGAGCCCAGTGCTCTACGTGGTCAACCTTCTGATCCCAAGCTCTTTCCTCATGCTCATTGACATCCTGTCCTTCTACCTGCCTCCCCATAGCGTCGACCGTGCCTCCTTCAAAATGACCCTCATCCTGGGCTACACAGTCTTCCTGCTCATCATGAACGACCTGCTGCCAAGTACAGCAAATGGCACTCCCATCATAGGTGCATACTATTATAAACCACCTTATAGATAAGTAGAAGAAAATGGTTGGAAGGCTTATAGGTCCCAAATTTAGCTGCCTGTTAAAAGTACTGATAAACAACACAGCCAACATCTTAAAAGTTAAATGTATGACTGCTTTAATGTGTGTCCTTTGATTCTTCAATCTAGGTATCTATTTCTCAGTGTGTCTTGCCCTCATGGTTATCAGTCTACTGGAAACAGTCATCATTACCAATGTCCTCCACCATAACTCCTTGAAATATCGGGAGGTTCCAAAGTGGGTTAGGGTTGTTGTGCTCAAACATATAGCAAACCTCATCTGCTACCGCTGGCCAGAAGATATCCAGCTGCCTTCTACACCACAGAAGGATAAACCTGGAAACTCCAATGGCAGTTCTGGTCCTTGGATCATTCAGCCAGCCAGCCGGGCACCTGACCAGCACCCAGTTAGTAACGGTAGCCAAACCTACATAATGCTCTGTCATTACTGCCATTGACCAATTGGTGCTGAAACATCTTGTGACCTTAAAAGTATTTGAGAAAACATACTGGCAGGCATCATTTGGTTCACTCAGATACAAAAAGGTTACATGGGCAAATGTTCTATTCTGTATTAAATCAAAAGATGATATCTGTGGTGTTAAATATATTATGGAGTGCTCCTTATTTGACTTTTTAATCTCCACTTTTCTGCCAGGTACATCTGCTCTGCCGGAACTGCAACAGATCTGTCAGTACCTTGCTGAACTTCGTGCCCACCTCGTCTCTCTGCAGAAGGAAAGCCAGCTGTTGGACCAGTGGTGCCATGTAGGATATGTCCTTGACTTCCTGCTCTTTCGTATCTATCTACTGATCATCAGCTGCTATGCTATGGTTATTGTCACAATGTGGTGCATTTGGATCGCTCAAAACTAAATGAATATTGATATGATCCAGGATGGATGTTATGTATAAACAATTAGAAAATGTGAATGCATGACAAGGACTGTCCAAACACATGCATGTTAGGTTAACGGGTGATTGTAAACTGGCTGTGCATTTGGGGATAGATCATATTGCTTAAAGTGGATGAATGTATGATTCGATGTGGTTAGAGTTTTGCATGATCAGTAAGATTTTCAAAGTGCTAATATATATATAGCATGCCTTTAGATTTACAGCTTGCTTTTTACTATTAATCCTGTACAGCAGTAGCTTCTTTTATTAACCTACCAGTTACAATTTTTTTTAAATTAACCCAAGATCTGACGACAGAAAACAGTAACACAATAACTGAAGTGAACTATAACAATGCAATTTTCTTGTCTCTATGTGTGAAATCAGCTGAAGAAGAGTTGCGTGGTAATAAATTCTCAGACGCATTACATTTTTAATCCATTTTAAACACACACACATATATTTATTATTATTTGTATTTTGTCAAAGAAAGAAATTTTAATGAAAATAAAATCTTAATTAGTAATTCTGAAAATAAAAACAGTGATGCTTATCATTATTTTTAAATCAAAGACACAAGTCACAGAGGAAAATCTACTTTAGAAAAAGTGTGAACAATAAAGTAGGAAATAAAAATTTGTTATCGTTACCTGATATTAAGAATAAGCCAGCAATAAAGTTGATCCTGGGCTGAGATGGACCCACAAAGCTTTTGATGGACTATTTATTCGCCATCACCACCTTTTAATAACATCCAGGATTTTTTTTTTTTTTTTTTTAAACAAAAACGGAAAATCTCCATTTTCAAAAATACCTGTGTACGTGTGGAAACAGCTAAGAAATACTGACCACTATCAGCCCGGAAAGGGTTACAAAGGCATTTCAAACACTTTGGGACTTGAACTGACCGACCTACTAAAATTTCTCCAAGGCTACGTCCACACGTACACGGGTATTTTTGAAAATGGAATTGTTTTAAAAAGAAAATCCTGTTCAGCCGTGCAGTTTTGATAAAATATCTACGTCCACATGTAAATGCTAAAAACTAAATGTTGACCAATCACAAGTCTAGAAAGACCCAAACACATAGAAAAATCTGTGTTTTCAAAAATACCCGTGTACGTGTGGACGTAGCCCATCGACGTTTCATCCAGGAGGTCACAAAAGAACTGGAAATAAAATCCTAAAGGCTTCACTTGTCTCAATTAATGCTCCCTGAAGCCTTTAGGTTTAACAGGGCAATAATCCAAAACACAGCAGCAAGATCATCTCTGAATCGCTTAAAAAACAAAATTACGTTTTTGGCCTATTCAAAGTGCAGATTGGATCAAAATTCCTCCACTGTAAAAGACTCATCACCAATTATTACACAATCACTTATTAGGTTTGGAAAGCAATTGCTTTTTCACACATGGTGAGGTAAAGTTAGAGAGCTTCTTTCCCTAACTAAATGAAATCATCATTTTAAAAAAAACTATAATCTATATTTGCTCTTACTATGTTTAAATTTAAAATTTTAAACATTTAAGGGTAAAAAATGTCACACTTCTGTTTAATCAGTTTTCTGTTTGACGTTTATTCAGCTGTGTGAAAGCCCCGGAGGAACCCTCCTGAGGGATTAAAAAAGTTTTATTTAATCTAATCTAATCTAATAACTTTAATCTCAGCCAAACCGATTTACTCACAAACAAATAAAACACTGAAAAAAGCTAAACAATAACATGTTTAAGTTATTTAAGTGACTTATATATCATGTTTAACCTGAGTAGCGAAAGACCGTGGGGTTTGAAAATGATGTGCCGGGAGTTTGCTGTTCTCGTCGGTTCAGATATTTGAAGTTTACACAGAGATTTTCGGGAGGGGGACTGAAGTTCGGGATTCTCCCGGAAAAATCGGGAGGGTTGGCATGTATGGATGACATACTTCAATTCAATATATAAGACTTTAAGAATGCACAAGCATCTACCTAAAATATATTTATTTAGTCATCTGTGATATTACTAGCTACAATTATAATGTATTTTTCATCTCCCTTGAATGAACAGGCAGCCTTAAAGTACTTAAACAAACTTGGTGCAGCAGTAAAATAAGCATTTGAAACACCAATAAAAATAAAAGAACTGAGCCTGTGTCAAGGTGGGTGCAGTGGCAGGATGAAGGATCCAAAACACGCAGGACTCGTACACGGATTGACAACTTAAAGCGGCAGCTTTTATTTTTGGGAAGACTTTGGAAACTAGCAATAAGAAACACAAACTAGAAAACAAACCAGGAACTGAAAGCTAGAGCTTAGCCAAGAAACCGAAGGAAGAAACACAGCAAGTTGAGGGTGGTACGACGTGATACCAGACAGAGGAAAACACAGGTCTTAGATACACCAGGGAGTAACGAGGGACAATAGGACGTAAAGACAGCTGGGACTAATCTGACATAACGAGACAAAGGGGAAGGAAAACTCAAAACACTGAACACAGGACACAGACTTTCAAAGTAAAACAGGAAACACACAAATGCAGAGGGTCTTCTTTGCAGTTTGAAATTTCTTCTTTTCCTCTTGTGATGTGGTTTTCTCTTCTTTTAGTGCTTTCTGCACATCCAGCCGCTGCTTTCTATTTTCTGCTTCCTTTTTACCTTGTTGTTTTCTCCTTCTCTTCACTTTAGATGACTGGACTCTTGTAACACTTTCTTCCTAAGTTTGTCAATTGTTTCCTTGTTTTCATCAAGACAACTGCACATGTTAGCTTGTTCAGTCAGCAAATTTTCCACAATCAATTTTTTTTGCCTCTTCTTTAAATTTTACATTCTCGGCCTGTATTTTTTTAAAATGCTCCTCTTAGCTCAATCAGTTCATAGACTGTGGTGTTTGGTGAAGCCCTCACCAATCCTCTAGTGGATCTCCCCTTATTCATTTTGACCTTTTAATTAAAGACACAAACGTATGGTATAGAAGTGAAATTTTCAATGTTTTTTTTTCTTCAAATATTGTTGGAAGGTCCTTTAAAACACATCTTTGATCCTAAGGCCAAAAAACAGCCACGCCCCAAAAAGTGCTATAAAAATGTTATAAATTAATATTTAATATATTTTCCACCTTAAATGAGTCAGTCTTTTAAAACTACTTCTGCCTAAAATATTCATATCAAGTATTAATTATATTTTCAGTGTTTTAACCCTTTAAATCCCAGTTTCTTTACATGAGCGCACTGTTTTTTTTAGCCGAAAAAAACAAAGAACTTAAATATTTTCCATAAAATACATTTGAAGTAATATTTGATTGCTATTATAATTAGAACTTTAGATGGGCCAAAGATTGGCACCAACATTCATTTTGATCCGCCATTTTTTTTTTTGCATGAGCACAGTAAATATAACGTAATGGTATGTGCATCATGTTTTTCACTCTTGCCCCACTGCGTATTACCTTGTTGCTTTCGAAAATAAAATGAAAAACATTATGTTAATAAAAATACAATATCAGTTTGAACCAGATAAACATTTATTTTCCAAAGATGAACAAGAACCTGTATATTGTTGGGAATAGGGAAATGTATGAGAGAGAAACAGAGAAAGCGGGTGAGAGAGAGAGGCTGGGTGTAAAAGTCCTGCTCAGGTGGAGCAGAGGCTGCAGATAAACTGGCTGTGGTCTCTGCAGGTAAACCTCCCACATTTGCTGTAGGTCCCAAGTCGTCTTCTTTTCTCACAGCAAAGCTCACACTGCTTCCTGCCCTTGGGTTGTATCAATCGAGAGGGGCCTGCAGCAGCAGCAGCAGCAGCTGTAACTATTCCTGCAGCGGCTGATGAGTGGGGATGGCGCCCTCTTTTCATTTTGTGAGGCTTGACTATCATCTCTCCCACCTCTTTGATGTACAGCCTCCTCCTGTGCGGTTTCTGCTGCTGCCAGGATGGATCTACTGATGTCCACAGCACGTAGGCGTTGTACAGAGAAACATCTATCAGGTTGTGAAAGAGGGCCATATTTGTCCTCCTCCTGCACGAGTAGGTGCCAACGACCCTAACAAAAAAACGATGTATATTTTACACAAGAATATATGAGCAAGAATGAATAAACGTGTGCGTAACTGATGCGTATTGACACCCACCTTATCAAGGTTGTCGACACCTCCTTTGCATCGGTTGTAGCCATTGATGATCACGGGCTTTCTCTTCTCTTCATCACTGGCCTCCGGCCTGCGATGCATGGTTCTTAGTAGAAGCACATTCTTGCCCCGTAGGAGAATGAAAGAGACGAGTGTGTGCCTCATTGTAAAGCAAAGGTGGATGAATAGATCGCCCTCTCCCTCTTGCCTGGCGCAAAACAGGTGGAATATCAGGATTGTTTTGGCAAATTTTGCCAACTAGAGCCAATTTCCTCTTAAGCAGTTCCTCAGTGCAAACGATGTGATGATGATGTGTCCCTGGAGCCCCTCGGTCATTTGCAGGACCCTCATCCCCTGGTTAACTTCGGCTCGATCGCCAGCTGCTTTCCCCGTGTACACCTGCAGTCGCCAGGCATACGATGTTTTCACATCACAGGCTGCCCAAACCTTTATGCCATATTTGGCTGGCATTTTCGGCATGTACTGTCTGAAGCTGCACCTGTCTTTTGAACGGGACGAGCTGCTCATCTACAGTAAGGTCTCGGTCTGGGCTGAACAGCATCGCCAGGCGGTGCGTCCACATGTCCCATACCTGGCGTAAGGCAGCCAATTTGTTATTATGGCGTCGGGGTCGGGAGAGCTTGTTGTCAAACCGCAGTGCCCTGGAGATGTGACAAAATCTCTTGTGGGACATTGTAGCCCGAAAAATGCTCCGTCCCGATTTTTCACTCCAGAGGCTGATGGTGGGTTCGTGTTTTGACCGGTAAACGCCGGCCAAAATAAGCAGCCCCACATAAGCCCGGATTTCCTCATTGTCCAAATCTCGCCAGGCTGGGATTGTGCGTCTCCCATGCAGGTTGGTCATGGCAACAATATGCTGCAGGATTTCATCCATCAGGAACAACGCAAAGCTGGAGATTGGGTCAGTTATTTGGGTGGCGGTGTAGTGAGTAGGTCCCAGAATAAGCCTTGTGGCTGCTGGGACGTAGCGCAGCGTCTCGGTACTTGTGGGGGACCATACTATCTTGCCATTTTTTGAGGTCCATCCCGCTGCTTCGTCATGCATCTCCCCTTCGCTCTCATCTCCAGAAGACAAATCAGATGATTTCGAAGAGGACTCCAGCTGATCAGTGTGCAACGACCAATCCTCCACGTCAATCCCGGAATCGTTGGCGGGTGACGAGGAGAGATCCTCTCTCTCAGAGTGCATTAGCATATCCACAACTTCCTCGGTGTTGTAATAGCGTGCCATTGTGAAAATGCCTACTCCCGCGCTACAGCTTATTCTTATAACCTCTGCTGCAGTGCACCTGCATAAACACGCTGAGCTTGAAGACAAAATAAAGTCTAA